GTACAGTCTGGTAAATCTTCACAATTGATCTGCAGTTTATCTCAGGAACTGGAGTGACTATTTCTATTTCTAAAACCAGAATTTATTGACAGAATTTATTATGTATCAGACCGTTAGAAAATGCTCTACCTTTGATCTTTTTTCAAGTTTTCAAGTTTAAGAATTTTTTTCAGACTTTGCAGTGACTTTTATGGAATCTGTGCCTCTTGCCAAAAGTACTTAAATGTACATTAAAAATTTGCATTTGTATAGGGGACCATTTATCAGAGGGACTTGATGGATAAGTTTTTACTTTATATTGGTGCTTATGCAGATATGCAGTATAATTGTATTCAGATTATGATTTTTGTTGGAATGTAATTGATAAGAGATATTTTCAATGGTCTTACTGTACTGTCAAATGCTTTAAAAGGTAATATTGTTCTGTCTGATTTTATTAGTTTTGATCAGACTTTTGGGAGAAACTGTTCTTGGTCTTGCTCAGGTGTATGATTACTCAGATTCAGCTGCAGGATCAGTGCTTTTTTTGACTATTTTAATGACATTGCTGTACAATCCCTCCGTACTCCAGTTTCTACACGGATTTCATGTGATTTACTCTGGAGAAAATATGAGCTAGTTGTTTGTAAATGGCTTTCATGACTCTCTTCCAGGAAATTGGAAAATTATGTCGTATGTATTACAGTACTGTACAACTTTATAATGTGTATGTGTTATTGCCACTAGATGCAGGAGATGACTCTTTAAAACACTAAGATGTCTTTTTCCCAGATCATTATCTTAATAATTTATTTTTTCTGTACTTCATATTCTTACTATATAATGGGAAAGTATTAACATATTAAATGGAAATGTAAACACTTGTTGGAAAACCTGTGTTTTTCAAAACCTATTTGCCATATATACAGTGGGCTGAATATCTGACCATATGCGAGCAATCAAATTTTATATTTTAGAATAAATCCATGACAAATCTTTTGAGAACAGGGATATTGAGGTGCTGGCAGAAGAGTGTCTGGCATGTGGGCAGCGATAAAAGATCAGCAAAAAGTACAGAAACCTACCAGGAAATGGGTGTGTAGAAGGAATCCTATATACAAGAAAGGTTCCTTGGTTTAACTTGACATGAGTTTAAGTTAACGTAGTGAAGTCTTGCATAGGATGACAGATTCAGTTTAGAGGAGGCTGTTACTGATCTGGGTTAAATTATTTGGCAAAGAGTTTAGGTTGCATCAAAATACGTTGCTCCTACATTGAGGGGGAAAAAGAAATACTCATTAAAGTTTGAACCCCTTTCCTCCAATTGTCCCTTAAAGAAGGTAAAGCAGTCCAGGTTCTTCATGTTACCTAGCCAAGACCTTTGAGACATCAGGATCAACGAAGAGAAAGAGGCAGGCCCCTTTGAGGGAATGAGCATATGCTAAAAATGATCCAACTACTGTGGTGTAGTAACTTGCCACATGTAATATGAGCCAGTGGGACTGACTTGACACACCTTTGTTACTAAAGTAAGAGGCCTGAGTTAGGATTTTATTTTGCATTTGGAAGAGCATGAAAACAGCCACTGGTTTAGCTGATGAGCAAAGCGTTGCTAATAACATTCCTTACAACCAAGGATTGAGAGAAAAATAATAAAGATCATTGAGCCTATGAGGAATATTGTGTAAAAATGGAAATGTATCCAAAAGGTTAGATGGATCCCTGAAAAGATAATGTATTTAAAGTAATCTGTTTTAACCATACTGTCTGATACAAAAGCAACAACTTTGCTTACAACAGCATCCCAAAGGAGCTCCAGTGTAACTCTGCATTGTTTGCACAGCATTAGGGTAATAGAACTTAGGTCAGAATGAGGTTTCTGATACAGCTGAGGTTTAAAATAACAAATAATAATAATTTTCAATTCTGTCTGTGGGCTCGAAGGATATATATACGCCAGGTTACCATTTTTTAATGTAAGTTGAGGCTCTCATTCTCTTCCCACTGCATCATTCTGAAGTGGGATGCTGAGCCTGCTTATTGTATAATAATTGTATAATATTGTAAGCCTGCTTATTGTATAAAGGGTCTCTTTGTTTTGCACGTGGCCAGTCATTTTCTTATGGTTTTCTATGGAAAACCACTGTAACTGAACACTCAGGTGATGGTGTGGTCTGTAGAGGCCACACCCAAGCATATTTTTTCCATTGCTGAGTACTGTACCAGGCTGGATGTGACTACCAGTGTCGGGATAGGGCAATAGTGTTACGATGCTTCTGTAAAACAAGAAGAAACAATAGAAGGGATTTCTCTGTCTAGGGGTCTTCTAAGAAGCAGTTACTCAATAAGCTGGATTAGGTATCTGGAGTATTTCTAAATACTCACGATGTTTTTCTTGGATGGAGCTCTTACAGAAAGCCTAATGAAAAAGAATTGTTTTTAATGAAACATAAATGTAGTGATGGGATAATTTTCACATCAGAAGTAGGAACAGATCAATAAACCAGTCTATATTCAGTTCCAGTTAAGTTCTGGTTTTGCTTAGTGTTATGCTCTATTAGCTAAGTTGTCTAGTTTAAATTATTATCAAAACACACTGAATAAAAAGAGGAAAAAGAAATTCCATCTATATTTTTAAAAACCTTTTTTTTTTTCAGATAATTATTACTGCCTGAGGTTAACCTACAGTAACTTTGACTTCCGTGAAACTGAAACAACAGTTTATTACCAATTGTATTTTAATTCTTGATTAAAATAACCCGTGTACGAGTCTAATAAAAGTATTTTGTTTATAAAACATTTCTTTTAACACTCTGTATTACTGTGGATAACTATGTTTGTGACCAGGTTTACAAAAAAGGGCAAGAGTTCTGTTTGTTTTTTAAAATAGCACAGAATTAGGTTTTAAAATCTGTGACCTCATGTTCAGATGTGGTGACTGGGTGTAATTTCCATCATTTCAAACAGAGGCTGGAACATAATTATGTGGCCAGACTGTGTATATTGAATTCCTAACTGCAGTTCACTGCTAGTTGAACCTGACTTGCCAAGCTGAATGCCAGCTATGCCCACGTGTCCTGATGTCATGGCACTGGCTGCTGCAGCAGCATACGAACAGACTGCAAAGCAGGTAAGATAAATAAATACAGTAATCTCAAGTCCAGGGGACCCATTTCAGCAGGTTATGGGTGCACAAAGCCATATCTGAGCTATTGCTACACTCAGCTCTGTGTGACTTTAAGAGGGGAGAGTGGGAGGTTGCTCACCTCATGGCTCCCTTGGCTGTAGAAAAGCAAGCCGTCCCCGATCGTTCTCTATTGGGTAATGGAACAAATTGTCCATCTTCTGGACCTGTGGAGATAGATGGAGAGAGGTGGAAAACTTAGAAGTACTCTAGATGAGGGTAGGGTGTTAAACTGAGCAAAGGGGGACTCGGCCTCTAACGCGGGCACTTGGCTGTGCCAGCTAGCTGTCTGAGGTATCGCAGATCTGCGCACCACAGCATCTCTGCTCTTGTTGAGGAAGCTCTGTATGTGTAAGGCATTAAGCTGAACAGTGAGAGCCTCAGAAATGAGGACATTTTCTTATGCACTTGAAAAACTTTAGCACAAAGTTAAAGTTCTTAGAAGGTGACCGGAACGTTTTATACAGGAAGTAAGTACCTTTCATTAGAATACTAAGTTAATGCAGAGAGATAAGGTGTCTGGATGGGGTAACATTTATAAGATTTTTGTATTTCCTGAAATACAGACAACGAACAACTTCCTGTGCCCTAGCAAACCTGAACCTGTTCTATTTGTCTTCTCCTCTGAAGCTTCTGTTACTTCGCAACACCAGTAACAGGGTTTTGAACCAAACTGAAGTAGTCTGGTCCATCAGAGCAATTTCTCCTGTTCACATATGCAGTGATTCTTTTTTCATCTTCAGCTCTAAAATGTGGGGATTTTTACTCCCAGGTTATCTTGAGGCCTTTAAGCAAAATTTAAAATCCTGCCTTAATTCTATACTAACAAAACTCATCACCTGGAAATCATTTGAACACTTTGAGAAGTACAACAAATAGAAACACAATGTATCTCTGCTGTATGTAGCGGTATACTGTTCTTTTGTGCACAGCTTTTACTATCAGCCTTGCATTGGGATTGTCTCCATTATAACTCACTTTCTAGATCACGCTGTGCACATACAAGAGACATAACAATGCAGAGATGATGTCAGCTGCGTCTAAAGCAAAACCTGCAACTTTCTGCCTATGTTGCAAGGGACCTAGACATAGAGAATCACGTTGTCTGCTCCGTGTAGCATATTTTGACCTTTTATTCCATCTACTAAAAACAAGGTTGCATGAGAGCCTTCCACTGAACAGTCCTCAAATGCCAGAAAAAAGATGCATTTTTAAAAATACGAAATGAAATTATGGTGCTAGTACATGAAATTTCAGTCCTTTAGAAGTGCAAGCCATGTTTCTCAAGTCAACACCTAACCAAAGACCAGATGATAATTTCGCATGGGTTCTAATTTAACATAGGAAAATGTTGCCATTTACATCAGTGGAACTTCACAAGTTTAAGTAAGGTTTGTATGCTCATTTCTATAGGATGACCTG